CAGCAGGGAAGTCCATAGTCAGACTTTAAACATGCCTTCTTAAATCTTTTCTTTACATATATACAGTTATGATTTCACTTGGATGCCTTTGCAAAAGAGCTACCTCTTCAAGATCTATAGAGAGGGCTTTCCAAAATTGAATCAAAATTAATTAGGTAAATAAATGTTGTTATTAACAGTAAGCTGTTGCCAGACTGGAACATGATTTTCTCTGTCTGTTATGAGAACAATGTTTTCTTGGAGTGCTGCTTTTGATAACAGACTGTGTGAACTCTTTGGGTCTGAGTGGTTTGTAATTGCTTTTGAGACCTCTCGTTACTCTGGTTGAGAAAATAAGGAGCATTGCACGACCTCTGAAGATTATGGCACATGTAGATAAAGTTCATTCTTCTACAAAACTTAACCTTTATTGTCAGACTTTGGACACCCTGATATCCTTGTGGCATAGCAACTGAAAGTGAAAATATGAGTAACTCAGTAGTGTCCGACTCTTTGCGACGCTATGACTGTAGCCCACCAGGCTCCTCTGTCCATGGAATTCTGCAGGCAAGAATACTGGAGTGGGTTGCCAATCCTCAACCCAGGGATTGAGCCCGTGTCTCCTGCATTGCAGGCAGATTCTTTACCATCTGGGCCACCAGAGAAGAGCGTGGCAGAGGTCTACTCCTAACTGAGGGGATTTAAAATGGGTAAACAATAGCTACTGATTAAACAGTCAGGGCTCTGGGACACCCAAGACGACTGCCCGGCTTTTCCTGGCTCCCTGAAAAATCTCATTTTTATTTGATGGGTTAAAGCGTTTCCTGGCTGCAAGATTGATGTCCTTACAATGAAAAGAAAATTGTAAAAAATAAATATGCATTCCACTTGGAGTAGGCCTTCCACAATCTCCAATGATCAAGGTACTCACCTCACTGGACAAATCACACCAGCCTTAACAAACACCTCACAAACTTCTTGAAACTATCACTGTCACCGGCATCCTTAATCATCAGGCCAGGTCAACAGAACTAATAGAAAAACTGGACTCAAATGGAGCAAAAGTGAATTACATGGCATTAAATGAACTGCTGGGCTTCCCTGGTGGCTCAGCCGGTACGAACCTGTCTGCAATGCAGGAGACTTGGGTTTGATCCCTGGGTCTGGAATATGCCCTGGAGGAGGAAATGGCAACTCATTCCAGTATTTTTGCCTGAGAAATCCCACGGACAGAGGAGCTTGGCAGGCTGCAGTCCATGGGGTGGCAAAGATTTGGACACAACTGAGTGACTAATATTCACAAATGAAATGCTAAATATGATTATAATCTTTATGACTGTTGTATGGCAAATTCTTGGCTTCTAATTATTGTTTTTTCAAACATAAGAAGACTGTTCTCTTCAAGCTACTTATGATGTACAGCAATCTGTTAATTTACACTTGTGGGTAAAACAAAACCTGTTTATTCTGTCTCTGGCTGGTCGCTCCAGAAATTGGAGACCCTTCAGTCATGAATAGCTTTAACAGGTGCATAGAAAGCACTATCAGTAGTTTTTGTCATACATTGAAATGAATTAGCCATGGATTTACATGTATTCCCCATCCCGGTCCCCCCTCCCACCTCCCTCTCCACCCCATCCCTCTGGGTNATTATTGGCTTCTAATTATTGTTTTTTCAAACATAAGAAGACTGTTCTCCTCAAGCTACTTATGATGTACAGCAATCTGTTAATTTACACTTGTGGGTAAAATAAAACCTGTTTATTCTGTCTCTGGCTGGTTGCTCCAAAAATTGGAGACCCTTCAGTCATGAATAGCTTTAACAGGTGCATACAAAGCACTATCGGTTGGCATTTCAAAAACATTTGGGGGATCTCTAATAGAAAGAAATCTAGGGCACGGGGAGGATCCTAGGGCAGGTCAAGTGTGGAAAGAGAAACCAGACAGTTGGCCAAAGGCAAACACACCGAGAAGAACTGCCCTGCATGAATAATTTACCTGCATCTTTATGGGGATCCTACTCGTTATGGGGATGCCCACATCTTTTCTCTACAGGCATAAACTCTGCCTTGCTTCTGTCTTAAATAAAAAACAAAAAACTATTTCTCTGTGTATTCTCCAGCTTGTTGTGTTGTGTCTCTAGTAATAAACTGTTTTCTTAATTTTTTTTTTCAATTTTTTCCTCCCATTTTTCAGTGGGGGCAATAGCCAGGGAAACCTTGTTTCTAGCCTCTAGCCCGTGTTGGACAAGGAGGAGGATTCCTGGTTTTCATCCAGGCCGCTCAAGTCCAATTCCTGGTCAGAGAACTAAGACCTCGCTTCAAACTGCCGCTCACGGCTGTCTCTCTCTGAGATCAGCCCCGCTTGGTTACAGAAGATGAGAAGAGCAAATGATTGATTAACAAATGTTTGCCCCTCTGTGCTGACAAGCCTTTCTAAGACAAGATGTTCTCTCTGATAATAGCTCTCTGGGGACATGGAGCTGTTAGGTCTCCTAATCTAAATTACTTTCAGCCACGAAGGGACAGGCAAAAGGCTTTTCTTTAGGTCACAGCATCTTCATTGACTTCATCTCAAAACAGCCCCAAAACCAAAGTGGCACACTTGGGAAGATGTATTTTGCGCCCCCCACCCCCCACTTCTCTTTAAGCAACCTTTCCAGTAAGTTTGAAGCATATTAAATGTCTGATTAAGGTTTGAGGAAACCACAGCGCAGAGATGGAGAACTTGCCCATGTGTCCTTGTACCGCCTGCCCCTCATCACCCCATTGTCCGTGGAACTGGACTCCCAGGGCCAAGGGCAGATGGACCTGCTTGATGACTTTGTGTCTTGTTTTCTCAGCAGACCGTAACCTCATCAACTCCGTCTAGGATGCTGCGTCAGTGTGCTCTAGGATGCTGCGTCAGTGTGCTCTAGGATGCTGCGTCAGTGTGTTCGCCAGTTTGTTCAGAAGCTGGTCCGCAGGCGGCCACTGGAGCCCCGGGAGGAGTCTGAGAGTCGCAGAGCTCCGCTGAGCACCCTCGGCTTGGTGCTCTTGGGCGTGGGCAGGACTCTGGGCGCTGGTGTGTACGTCCTGGCCGGCGTCATGGTCATGTTCATCACTGGACCGGCGATCATCATCTCCTTTTTGGTGGTCGCCCTGTCTTCTGTGTTGTCTGGACTCTGCTATGCCGAACTTTGGGCTTGGGTACCACGCTCCGGTTCTGCGTGTCTCTACAGCTACGTCACCATGGGAGAACTCTGCGCCTTCGTCATTGGTTGGAACCTCCTACTGTATTTAGTGGCTGGTGAGATGATGGGGAGGGGGACGAACTGGGGCTTAAGAGTCAGGAAACTAGGAGGGTAACTGGGGTCTTCACTAGAGGAAGGGGCACTGTAGGGGGTGGGTGAGAGGGAGGCAGTTCCCACAGGCTCTTCCCCTGAAAGTCTTTGCTCAGCTGTTGCCTTCATGGAGTTATCCTTTACCAGTTGATTTAAAATGTCAACACTCATTTAAAAGTCAGGCAAGTTGTCTGTAATGCATTTTTCAAACAATTTGGAGAGCACTGCGATCCCGTGGAGGATATGCTCGTTAGTGTTGTCTTTGTTGGCATTGACAGTCTTGCATGGTCATATACCAGTATTTTTGCTTTAGCTTGTCTTGGAATAAAAGATTTAAATGCATTTAGACAATACATACTGTAAGCTGTTTACATACACTAAATTTAAGAGATTCAATATTAGAGTTTTTTTTTTTTTAAACACTACAGAGTGCAAATCAGGTTCTTCACAACAGATTGAGTATTAAGCAGTTCTTCAAAGAATGAGGGGGGAAGAAGAAAAGCCCAAGTGAATAAAACATTGAAACTATTCCCCTTTGAAAATAAATTCTAAAATGATACGGAATGTGAAATAAGCTTTTAACATAGGTGATCCGAGTTTATAGGTAGAAACAAAAAGTAGTCCTTCATGAAATAAAGGTTACAAGAACGTGTGCCTGTTTTCCCCTGTTATAAACTGAGAAGCGGGTAGAGACGATGTTTCGGTACGAAAATAGGCGACTACAGGGTCAGCGTTCCGTCTCACATGCTGTACCCAAAGCCAGGCTGTGGCTGCCCATAGGGTGGTGCAGTGTACCCATACCCAAACGGCGCCTGGGCAGGGACTGCAACGCTGGGTCCTGCTGTCAGCATCAACTGGGGCTGGCCTACAGAAGAGAAGAGGGGAGCGGGTGGGGGCGAGGAGGCGGAGAGACCGTTAGCACTGCAGGACGACCACACCCGACCCCCGACTCCAGCAGCATAACCACAACTCAGAATGAATTTCGGGGGGAGGCACTTCTGACTGACTGTCTCAATTTTAGCATGGCAGTCACCCTAGGAAGGGTCCTGCCTAAAAAGCCAACAAAAACNAAAAAAAAAAAATCATAGTTGGACGTTGAGTAGCATCTCCAGCCTTGCTCACTAGAATCTGGTGCTAAACTGTGATCATCAGAATGTCTCCACACACTGGTAAATATCCCTTGAGTGACAAACCACCCCAGCTCAGAATAATTTACTTAAGGTGACAAGACTCTTCCTCAGTATTGAGAGCGAACATTTTTTTTTTTTCCATTGAGAGGAAATTCTCATAGCATAAAACTCATGCAGTTTTTCCTGGTTTTATTGAGATATAATTGATATACAATATTGTATAAGTTTAAGGTGTACAAATTGATGATTTGATAGATGTGCATTGTGAGATGATGGCCACAGTAAGAAATTAACCATCTTAAAATGCGTGTGTGTATACGGGCACTAGGTTGATTCAGTCACGTCCAATTCTTTGCAACTCTATGGACTGTAGCCCACCAGGCTCCTCTGTCCATGGGATTCTCCTGGCAAGAATATTGGCGTGGGTCACCATGCCCTCCTCCAGGGGATTGTCCCAACCCAGGGGTTGAACCTGTGTCTCCTGTGACTCCTACATTGTGGGCAGATTCTTTACTGCTGAGCCACCAGGAAAGCCTCTCAAATTGTGCAATTCACTGGGACTTAGTCCATTCACAGTGTTGTATCCATTACTCCATCTAGTTCTGAACATGTTTATCTCCCTGAAAGGAAACCCTGTACCCACTGAGCATTCACGGTCTATCCCTCCATGCCACCCCACCCCATAAACCCTGGCAACCACTGGCCTGCTTTCTGTGTCTATGGATTTAATTACCTTGGATGTCTCATATTCCATCTTTCCCACAGGACTACTGGTTCTGGGAGCTCGTGTGACAACCCTGATGATCAAAGTGTCCACAGGCTTGAACCTTTTTATTCCCATCTTCATGATCCTCTTTGGCTTCATTAGGGGAGATCTGCACAACTGGCAGCTCACAGAACAGGACTACAGATCGAACACATCTGGATCCAGCAGCACCTTTAGGTCAGGGGGGTCCTCTTGGTAATATATGGGTGGTGTTGGTGCAGAGCTGGGAACATGGTGGGGACTGAAGACATCTGGGCTGGTGGATCCAGGTGATGGGGGTCCTGGGGCCCAGGACTTGAGGTATGAAGGGAGGAGCCCAGTAGAAGTGGCTGAACTCATCTCACCCATGTTCTTCATCTCTCCTTCTCTCACCATAGCTTGGGCCCTCTGGGTTCTGGAGGGTTTGTGCCCTTTGGCTTTGAAGGGATTCTCCAAGGAGCAGCTCTACTTTTCATCTCCTATTTTGGTGTTTATGGCATGGTCACTGCAGGTAACATGGTCATTGTGTGTCCCATCAGAGGTGTGGCTGCTGGTTGGGTTGCCCCTGGGCACAGGGGTTGGTAGAAGGTAAGACCCTGATGCTGAGAAAGATTGAGGGCATAGGAGAAGGGGGCGACAGATGATGAGATGTTTGGATGGCATCACTAACTCAGTGGACATGAGTTTGAGGAAACTCAGGGAGATGGTGAAGGACGGGGAAGGCTGGTGTCAGACATGCAAAAGGAAAGGGTATTTTCAGCTTTAATTCCAGTGTTTTTGCTGACACAATACTTCCATCTCTCCTGCAGGGAAACTAGCCCCAAATCCTCAGCGTTCTGTCCCCTTGAGCATGGTGATCTCCATCTTCATTGGCTTTCTGGCGTACTCTGGAGTCTCAGCGGCGCTCACCCTCATGGTGCCCTACTACCAGATTCACCCTTACAGCCCCTTACCACAGGCTTTCCTCCAGGTCGGATGGGACCCGGCTGCATATGTCATGGCTGGTGTCTTACTGTGTACCCTTTTATACAGGTCAGTGTCCTGGTTTTCTCATCTATTGTCAGATTTTCAGGTGTCCCAGCCCTTGGGATTGAGAGTCAACAGGAAGGACCCCATGTAGACTAGGAACCGAGGGTGCCCTGGTCTCTCCTGCTTCTGCACATCCTCACACGTTTCCACTTTCTCTTCCAGCTTCCTATGGGCCACGTTCTCCATGTCTCAGTTGATCTATGCAATGGCAGCTGATGGGCTCCTTTTCCAAGTTCTTGCCCGGATCCACACCCATACAGGCACCCCCATCATGGCCATCTTGGCTTCTGGAACTCTTACAGGTGAATAAAGGAAGGCTTTTTTTTTTTTTTTAAAGAATTATATTTATTTGTTTAATCAGTTGATGATTGGTTTACAATATTGGTTTGATATGTCATACATCAAGATGAATAAGTATGATAAATATGAATTTATTTGAATATGAAGATTAATATGAAGAATATGAAGAAAAATATGAATAAATATGAATAGGTATACATATGTCCCCTCCCTCTTAAATCACCCTTCCACCCCTCTAGGTTATTACAAAGCTCCAGTTCGAGTTCCGTGAGTCATACAGAAAATTTCCATTGG